CATGTCCTCCCTGTGTATGCGTGCATTTTCTCCTTCAGTCCAAAAGCATGCGTGTCAACCTCGTTCTAAATTCAGTTGTAGTGAGTATGCATGACGGCTTGTCTCTTTTACTCATTTGTGAACTGTCCTACTTATGGAATACCAACATTTCTGTCGTTGGAAGTTTGATAGTTAGCTGGCACTGTTCACTCTTCTATGAAAATTTTTGTTAGCCGTAGTGCCGAAAGGCCCAAAGAACAGAATGTAGTGGCTGCTTGCTGGTTTACAAAACCATTGAGAGGTCACATTGTAATCCTTCTGACACTTTTCCACTTGTAAACCTGTGTTTTGGCTGTTGCTCCCTTCCTCTTGGTTTTGTTTTAGTTCAAAAAGTGTGAACAGATGCTTATTCGGGCATTATATCACTGATTGTCTTTTATGACTTTTACTATGCAGTACATGTGATGCATTAAATTGCAAATGGAAAACGGAATCTGGGAAATACGAGTAGACTAGAAGTCATATTCCCTTGTTTGGACAGAATATTATTTATCTATCGTTAGGTAATTGTTTTGCTCTTTAGGTCCCTCTACAGTTGTTGTAAAACCTGAAACAAATCACACTACCAATAGCCATGTACATGCATCTGTGTTGCTAGTAACCACACACTCCCAAATAGGCTCTCAATATGTGGTCTCAAGTATTTGTGAAGAGGAAGATGGATTTTTATCATGGTGACTACAGAGTACTTGTCTGCTAAAGTATCTCTACATCTCATGATACTTATCTGCTCTAAGCACTAAGCAAAAGCCAAAGAGGGAACTTGATGACTGAATAAGCAACAAGTGTTTTCTTTTTTTTTTTTATATGAGTGACAGCAAAACTCATTAAAGTAAAATCAGTTATTTTTATAAAATGAACTGAACGGAAACCTTGAAGATTTTTAGTGGCATGTCCTTCTGATTTTCTTGTAGAAAAAATACACATAAAAGTGTTCCACAAACGTGCTTTCAGAAAGCACAGCTCTATTCCGATCTGAAATGCTTTTTTTTTTTTACGTGGGTCTTTACGTCTTTGACACATTAGCTTCATCATGTAATACATTTGCATAATATCTACTTAATTTGGCACTCTTCGGGCAAAGATTAAACAACTGACAACATTATGTTTTTACCACAAAGCTCAGCCATATTAAACTTTTCAGTTGGAGGCCTTAAACAGACGGAGGCTAAACTTGAGGGCTCCAGTGAAAAGGTGACAAAAGGTGGCACGCAATACCACGCAATCTGAATTTCTTTTTTCACATTAAAGTATTGAGACCCACTTTAGTTGACCTAAATATGAGATTAATAACTTGTCAGTGAGCATGAAATGTGCTCTTTAATGAGCAAATGCCAAAGTCAAATAACCACAAGAAGTAGAGCAACCTTTTCATCACTCACTCACTTGTTTTTCAGTTTCATCATTGCATTTTTATCACAAGATGGCTTCTATACTCCCTACCTAACTTACTCTCCTCTGCCTTTTTATACTTCAGAATATTAAGGTTGTACTATTTAGAGTAATGTATTTAATTTATGGAGCTTTATTTTTATTTAATTTTACTTGGAATCATATGTGATTTAATAGTTAAAATAATGATGATAGTAAAGCATGAATGATATAAAAGAGGCAGTAATTGAAGCTATTCCAGATATAACTATTTTTGTAGGTAATTTAATCGATGTGTTTGTCTCTTGTGCAAACTCCACAGATGAGACACCTGCACCAAGGTTGTTCCACACAGCTATTTCCTTTCCCTTTTAGCCCTTACCAACACTTAGTCAAGTTCTTTTTTTTTAAGATTGGAGACAAGAAGGAATGTTTATGCTTCTAGTCAGAGGCAGCAAACATTTCTACCTGACAAACTTGATTCTGGTGTTGTAGTTCCTCTCAGCATGGGGGTTGAAATACTTGGTCATAGTTTATGAAAATCAAAAGCAAAGCTGCAAACAGTTTGAGACATGGTTCCATGTTTTCTACTGCAATAGTTTTTTTTAAAGAAAACTGAAGGTGATGAAGAAGAAAAACGGGCATGGTCGGAGCTCAGCACTACCTGCATTTCAATACTCTCACACCACAGTGAGAAAGAGGTTGGTGGCTTTACACATTAAAATAGGCTGGGATCGGTAGCAGCTGAGCAGTAAACAAATTCGGAATAAACTCCATGTTTAATCATGTTGTGCCTTCATTTGCAGAGCTGAAGAGGTGGTCCAGGTGTGAAGCAGTGTGGTAAAAAGGCTTGAGTAGCTTGTGTTTACATGCAGAGATTTCTATTCTAAACCCATTTATCAAGTAACCCAGTTTTTTCTCTTTGTTTCTTCTTTTTTTCTTTGTCTTTGCACAAATACATCTCATAAGCATGGTACAAAACCTGGTTAAGAATTAAGAGCTTTGATAAATAATTCCATATGTAGTAAAGATGTGTACATTTGCTTTTGATTAATTTAATATAATACATATTGAATCTCAGATACTGATTTTTTTGGGGGGTGAAATGCAGACCTTATATGTTTTTACTAATTTATACAAGATGGATATACATATTGTTTAATTTGCTGAATTTGAGTCCTTCATCCACAAACTAAGTTAACCAACCGAAATCCTACCTGAGAAAGGTTCCTGGTTTAATTTATCATCATTCCACACAGATGTTCCTGCTGGCATAAGTTTCTATGAATCTTTGCAGGATATTGCATCTGTGATTAAAAAGTAAAATAAAGAGTTAAATGTATTCTAAATCTGAAGGTAGACACATTAAATAGGTAACATTTAAAGTCCATATTATGACTCAAAAACTCATTTTGATTTCACCATGAGCATCCTGTACAAATGAAACCACCAGTGACATGTGACATTTGGTATATGACAGCACACAGATGACACCACAGAGTGAGATCGTAATCTTTACTGCAGAGGCAGCGGGCTGTATAATTTTAAATGAGCCTCCTTCTGAGAAACTGGTACATCAAAGTGACTGAAGACAATCGTTGTAACTGTGACAGTCCAAACCAAACTCGCACTCTTAAAAAGAAGACATTCCTTATACTTCAATTGAAATGTCAATCAAAGTTAGTTCGGCATCCACTGGGGATTACCCACAATTTCTCCTCCTCTGAGACGTTCACTGGCAGCCGCAGTGATCACATAAGGTGGCTTTTGCAAGATGATGGAATGACTTTATGGGCTCACGCTTTGGGCATCCCACTCTGTACTCTGTCAAAGAGAAGCCTCCTGTCTCTGTTTAGTGGCAGAAGATGCATTACACAGCATTGACATTCAAAATAGTCCCCTAGGTACTTCACAAATGCTTTGACTGACAGATCAACCTGGTAAACTTGTGCGGCCCCACCATTCACCACTTTTTATTCTGTTGCTTCACTTTCATTCTTTTGTCTAAACATGCACAGACCTGTGTCACTGCCTTTGCTTTTGTGTCATTGTTAGGGTTGGGGTTATGCTTTTTTTGGTCCATTTTCCAATCATACTTACATATAATTCTGATGCCCTAATTTTTCTGGCACTGCCATTTTCTGCTACTTGTAATTGTCAGAACACTAGACTTAGAAAGGGCAAAAAAAAAAAAAAACTAAATTACTGTCACTATTACCTTCTTAGAAAATGACTTGCTGCAGAGGAAACCGTCAGACTGCTATGATGAATTCAATAAATGCTGTTGGCAAAATGACAAATCCAATACATGTTATTCCCCATTAAATATAGTTCCATTTTTTTAACAAGCACAAGATTAAATTGCCACAGTAATATTATGAGTATAGTAACAGTATAATCGTAGTGAAAGATGTTGCTTTACTTTAAATTAGTAATCAGAACATGCACTGATTTTCCCTTGTGCAATCCATATCCATGTGCAATATATATGTGCAATGTATTTATTTATTTTTTTAATCTGTAAATACCATATTTATTACCATTAGGACCAATTTACTTATTACCGCTAAATTCTTCAATGATTGTGAACCTTATAATCTTGTAAAAAATATATATAGTATATATATTTATACATATATATATCATATTTTTCTATTCACACTTTCATATTTTGCACTATTTTTCGTGGGTCTAATCTCTAAATGTATTTTTTAAATTCTGTCTCTCGTTGATATTGTCAAGAAAAGTTTTAATTGACCTCATACCTTTTAAGGCAAATGGTTACTTGACTGATTTAATCACATTTTTAGTTACCATAATTTTGGAATGATCCATTGTCATTGGATGTATTCTTTTTTTAATGGCAATAGTGTTATTCAGTGTGGTTCAGTTCTATGAAAGTGCCAGAAATACACTACAGATCATTTTGAGCTTTGTTCCTTATAAATCTGTAATCTTTTCACATAAAACGTGTGTTTATAGAATTTGTCTTATTTATTTAAATGCATTTGATTAATACAGCCAAGTCCTGCGTATGGTACATTCAGATTTTTTAAATAGAAATGTCCCATGGGTCAAGACCGTGGCAACGCTCGGGAGGCTCTAGAGGAATACCTCCGGCAGGCTTAACAGTCCAGGCTCCCAAGCTGCCTTCAGATGTACAACAAAACACCCATGCTGATCTGCTTAGCCATGTTGCCCCTCAACCCCCTAATGAATGAGGGCAAAAGAGCTCTTGGGCTTAGCCTCTCCCTCTTACCCTAACTTAACAAGATGTCCCCCTACTCACTGACTTCCTCTGTCACACACACACAAACACAAATGCACGACCAGGCATAAAGACACACACCTCCCAAACCCCAAACCACTAACCCTCAGACCAATCTGTCTGTGGCACTAAAGTATTATTAGACTTACACACTCTCAAAGGGGAAACAGTGAGTGCTGAGAGCTGGAAGATGAGATATGCTACAGGGGCTACTAGTTCCATTAAAATGCCATTCACTGGGGCCTTTGTTATCATCGGCCCTGACGTTTTCAGGATGTAGTAGGGTTTGCTGATCCATGGCCATCTCATCTATCTTTCAGGATTTGAAGGAAGTTGGTGTGAAATTGACATCAATGAGTGTGGTTCAAATCCATGCCAAAATCAAGCTGACTGTGTGGACCAGGTCAACGGTTACAGGTAAAAAGTCTGACAATGGCTGTTCATTTCTTCAGAGAGAAGAAAAGTGGTTTTCACAACGAACCACAAACTTGTGTAAATACAGAGCATGAGAAGCTGTCTCTTGTACATATATTACACTGTCATTTTAAAGCAGGCTATCCTGTGCTAAAATTTGTTTTCATGTTGCAATTAGGTCAATTTAAGAGTCCCAAATGGATCCACCTTAATTATTCCTATCGTTTATTACACATAAAAGCTTTAGGTTTATTTAATCAATGTTCAGATCTTTTACCGTACTGTATGGGCAATCAGGCTAACTATGATGTGTAATTAATATCAGTAAATTCTGATAGATTTTTCTTACTCCGTGCATATGCCTGTAAGAAATATAGATCTTTTATTTTCCGTCTGAGGAAAATGTCGATGATAATGATTTTTCTTTACCAGGTGTGAATGTAAGAAGGGATACTCTGGCCTTCGCTGTGAGGAAGACATCAATGAGTGTGCCTCAAATCCTTGCAGCAATGCTGGCATCTGTCAGGACCTTGTGAACAAGTAGGTATAAATATATGTTATGCATCAATTATTAATATTCACTCATTTCTTTTTCGCTTAAGCTTTACATCCAGCCTATATTTTATGGTGTGGCTTTAAAGATCGCTTATATCAGTAAAGGCCAGACATAATTCATTTCAGGATTGTGTTCTGAGGGATAAACAAACTGAAGTGTTCTCCAAAGAAAACACCTGAGGTTTTGGTGCTCTTCTTTGGAGTGTTTCACTTTACATAACAAGCCTGCCTTCATCCTTGACACACATAAGTTTCCCTTCTGAAGACAGAGAGCAAATTCAGCAGGAACACATCATGTTTCTAGATAGGGCTTTTCTCCAACGGTGCTTCTCTCTGCTGTGCTTAATGGGAGCCCCGGGGCTTCCGGGCTTAGTCGGACAGATGGGTAGAGAAGTCCCAGGGCCAATTTGAGTCCTAAATGGTTTGTCTCCAGTTTGTATCCCGTCATGACTGCATTCCCGTGTGACCTGGCCCTGATCAGAGCACTCCCCTGGCTGCACAGTCCAGGGAGTTCACATCAGGTGTGTTTTAACACACACCTCTGTCTCTGTCTCCATCTTCATCTCCCTCAACCTCGCAAGCAAAGCGTGTTGGTCTCTATTCAGTCACATTCAGCAGTGCACTCATTGAGCCCCTTGCTGCCTTATGTTTACACTCCCTAACTCTTGAGATAATTTAGGCCTGACTATTTGACAGCAGAGAGGATGTTAATTGCTGTAGTGGTGCGAAGATCACTCCAGCATTTGAAGGCTTCCCAATAGGCAGTTCTTATGTGCTACATGACAAGAGAATGTTTAGCATAATGCAGAAATTTGATAAACATAACTGGTTTACTGATGAATTTATCTAATGAAAATGTGGTTTAGATTCTAGCTCAGAGGTGTCTAATTGCATCATTCTTATTACTTCAATTTAAGATATAATAACTGTCTCCTCTGAGATGTATTGTGAAAGCATATCCAGACAGGGATGGGAATTGAATAAACTATATGATTGGACAGATTGAGCACTTCACTTCAGTAATAAATCATCCATAATTCAAGCATGATTTAAATTTAGCCACACGCTGGGGAAAAAACTGTTGCATTGATCATCTTGTCCATGCTGGTCAGCTCAGAAAGATTGTGTGTATGGATTTCTGGCTGGTACCTTTGTGCTATCCACTCTAAGATTATCAAAACTGTTTTAAAGGGACTTTTACTACTTTTATCTAAACATAAAAGCGTCCTTCCACTCTGACGTGTCGGTTATAGCATTTCACCTCATACCTTAATCATTCAGTGTTATCACATTCTCCTTAGGTTCCACTGCTTTTGCCCTCCTGGTTATTTTGGAACGCTGTGTGACCTGGATGTGAACGAGTGTGAAGTTTCACCTTGCCTACACGAGGGCATCTGTATCAACACGCCTGGGGGCTTCAAGTGCATCTGCCGGCCTGGATATACAGGTAGCTGTTTTGCCCTTAGGTGACATGAAGATCAATATGAGAGTCTAAAAAGCTTATCAAGATGACTGCTGCTGCTGCTGCTGCCTGCTTTTGAGGCAACTCTGACACAGATCAGGATTAGGAAAGGAAAAAAAAAAACATTCACAATGCCTGATTTTAATT